TTTCGCCGCCGGCAAGCTCCAGTCCCCTCGCCAACACGAGACGCCATCCTCCCCGGGCGGGATCGCCGCGACCAGTCCCGGCGGCTCCTCCCCCACGGCATTCCAGGCCCGGGTTTTGCCGAGGTGGATCTGCACGTTGGCATGCCTCGGCAGACTCGTTTGGGCGACGCGCAGCACATCTAGGGTTCGTTCCGGGTCCGACGTGAGGTACACGTCATCCAAAAACGCGAAAAGGCCTTCCCCGGGCTGGAGCCCTGCGTGCAAGCGCGCGAGCGCTTGGTGCTGGCCAAGTGCATATAGCCCCGGCATCAATGGATCTTTTTTTTTTTTTTTTGTCGCGCCTTTTTCCAGCTGCCTGTGATGTCCGTGCCTTCAAGCTCCTACAGCCGCATCGGCAGCCGACTCGCCCCAGCGCCCCCAACGAGGTCCAGGACCCTTTCCAGGCTGGGCCCGGCTCCCGGTCCCGCTTGCGGCTGGGCCGGCCACGCGCGTCCGAGGGCCGTGCCCGCGACGGCCTGCTGGACTGCGATGGAGATGATGCCTTGCCATCGCCTGGGCCAGCCGCTCGCAGCCGCAGCGCGAACAGCTGGCGGCGCGCGTTGCGCGCGGAGGTGGACGAGATCCCGCAGGAAGCGGAGCGCCTGCGCGTTCCATCGCCCGCCAACCTCTGCTCCCAGCACGACCAGGCGCTGTGGCCCGCCACATGTGAGTTCGGGGTAAGCCGTCTGCTTGCGGCGCTCCGCGACCTGTAGCGCCGCGCCGTCGTCTGTATCCCCGCGCGGCTGTGGGTGATCACCTGCGCGGGTCAGCGGCGACACAAGCGTGGCGTCGCAGCAGAGCGCTCCCCCGTTGGTTGTGGCTCCGTAAACGACCATGTCCAGGCGCCGACGGTCATCTGGGCGTACTCCTGGGGCCGTCGTGTGGGCGAGCCATTGTTGTGGCACGACTTGGCCTTCGGGTCCGACTGCTTCCCTAGCCACGCGGAGCCACGCCCGTTCGACCACTTTTGCCCGTCTGGACAGGCCAGCGCATGGTCCCCCAGTGCGTCGACCTCCAGGCCGCACACCGGGTTTGGGCCGCACCGGTGGGGGCTCAGGGGCAGGGGTAGCCGCAAGCGACGGCGCAAAGCCAGGAGCATGGCTTGCGGAGTCAAGGTCGTGCTTGGCTCGCCTGGTATGGCTGAAAGCCAGGCCCCCGCGTGCGGCCCAGCCTGGGAGCGGAGCATGGCTCGGGAGCTTGGCGGCATGGCCGGCAATATCACGCGACTGCGAAAGTGTAGGTTGCGAGTCCGCGTCGCGTGAAATTGCTAGCCGTGCGGCCAGTCCCCCGGGCCTGCGTCTGTCGGGCGGGCGGGCCGCTCGCCTTCCAGGATGGCTTCCCAAGTGGGGCAGTGGATCCCCCTGCTCCCAGCCCTCCCCTTGCAGCACTTCGTGCGCGCGCCCCTCGGCATCGTAGAAAAGGTAGCGGCTACTGCGGGCATAGAACATGGCGGCGAAGGGGAGCAAACCTGAGAGCTGAGCATGATCGCGAAGCCCGCCAAGCATGCTTGCTCGGGAGATGTGGTCGTAAGCCCCCACGCCGTCAATGCTCAAGATGGTCGTGCGCGGGTCCGCTTCCGTGGCCGCGCGCAGCGCGCGTACCAAGGCCTCGGGGCTCGCCCGCCCTCGTGCTGAGAGCGTACTGGAAAGGGGCACAGGCCTGCTTGAACTGCTCCGCAAACTGTTGCGCGAGTGTGCGACTGACGAGTCGTCGAAATACGTCGCCCATCACCAGTGCGCGCACACCTCCACCGGGCTTGCTAAGCGCTACCATTCGTCCCAAGCGAAGCGCCTCAACGACCTGCTGTGGGACGTCAGCCCGCGCTAACTTGGCCGCTGCTTGCTGGATGAGTTCAGTGGTGTGCTCATCGTCCAGCAAGACACGGAGATGCTCGTTGGTGCACCCCGAAGGCCCTGCCGCGGCGCCCCGTCGCGCACGACGCAGGTTGTCGAGCAAACGGTCCGCGCAGAGCTGCGCCGGCTGGACACTGGGCCGCTGCAGGTCGGCATCCAGCGGGACTTGTGCTTCCTGTGGGCGCCGGCGGGGATCCCGCAGAGCGTCCAACGTCGCCTGCGTGGCGGGGGCGAGGGGGGGCGCGGTGAGCGCCTTCGCCGCCGCCGAGAGCTCGCCGAGGTGAGCGAGGGCGGTAGCTCGCTCAGCTCGTCGTTGCCTGTCAGCTTCGGAATCCTCCGGAGTGGTTGATGTGCTACGCCGCTGCCCATCCCCCTTGCTGTGGGCAGCATCCGCGCTTTCACGCAGGAGTTGCACCCATTGACCAGTGCAAAACATGTTCTCCCTGCGTCGAAGCTCGGAGGGCGGGATGCGCGTCTGTCCGGGCTCTCGGAAGAGAAGCATGCGCGGCGCAAGGAGAAAGAGTGTCCATCCGTCGCGGGCTCCCACTCCCGCGTCACCATCGCGGACCGTCTCGAGCGCCACCCTCATCGCGTTTCGGAGGATGCCACGACACTGGCGTGGCGGCGACTGCAGCGTGAATACGCGTTTTTCCACTTCCGTCGCAAGGTCGACTTCGCGCAGGCACGGCAGGTAGGACGGCAAGGGCGCGCGCGCCGCGGCTGGCAGTGGCACTGGGGCAAGCTGCGGCTGCGTACTGCTGGACGCGACCTGGCGAGCCGTTGCGTCAACGTCGGCGGCATCCGGCGGTGGCGTTCGTCCGGAGCGACTCGCACGTCCGCGGCCAGCCCCGCCGCGGCGACCCGCCCCGCCTCGGCGACCCCTACATCCCCGACCTCGGGCCCTCGCCACGCTGGCGGCAACTTGAGCGACGAGCTCATCCGAGACCGCATCCGCGCCATCTAGCATCTCCGGCCCGTCTCTGCTGAGCCCCGCTCGCAGGTCATCTGCGAGTGCGCGGGCAATGGGGGCGACCGCCGGCCCGCCATACACCTGCAGCAAGGCGGACTGGACGGCCGCCGGGACGTAGCCAGAGGCATCCGTGCACAGAAGCAAAGTGGCTGCCAACGGCAGCGGTGCGTCATCGCTTGACCTCGTCATCTACGGCGCTGCACCACTGGGTGGAACACAGAAAAAAAAACCCGGTGCTGCGATGCGACCCTCGTGTCGCCTCTTGCGCGAGATGGCGAGCCCCACTCCGGCGCGGCCGCGCAGGATGGAGCTGTGCTGCACACCGCTCTCCGGCACAAGCAGAACACCTATAGCCCGAGCTCGCAGCCGGGGGCGCGCAAACCCTCTGCGTGCTCAGCAGCGAAGTGGGTGGGCGGTGGAACGCAGATGCCGTGCGGCTGGTCAGGCACCTTGTCGCCCTCCGCGCGCACAGAACCCCGCCAGCACTGCGAGCCCCTGCAAGGGCGGCGTGGGCCCGCCGCTGGTGGAGTGTGCTGCTCTCTGTGGCCGTCCAGCAAGCTGTCGGCCACACGGCGCGCTTGGGCGCGCCTACGCGATGCCGGGACCGGCAAGTGCTGCTGCGCCGGCCCTTGACGAGGTCATGAACCTCGCTGGCCCGGAAGGGCCAAGCCGCTTGCCACTGCGCTGAACCGGCGCTAACCCGGGACCGCGCTTACCCAGCAAACGGATCTGACTGCTGCTGGCGGAAAAAAGTGTGAGGAAAAAAATCTCCTTCGGTCAGTAGCAGCGTGCAGGCGCTGTCGGCAAGGCCCAAACTCTGCCCTGTTGACCGCTGCCCGCCAGGCGCTACTCGCCGAGGCCCTTGGTCACAGGGAATTTGTCACTTTGCAATACTTCCGGGATCCTGTCCGCCGCCCGGCAAAACCGTACGAGGCCCTGCATCCTCCACTTTCTTTTTGCAGTCACTGGCACCAATACAGTCTGCACTTAGAGTGCGAGCTCGACCCGGCACTGACTGTGCTGTCATGTGCTGTCAGTCGACGTTCGTCAGTCGACGTTCGTCAGTCGACGTTCGTCAGTCGGCCTGCCATGCTCCGTGCGGGGTGGCGCCGAGTTGGCGGTCAGCACCACGCTTGTCTCTGCCTTGGACTCGGCAGGGCAGGCCCGCGCCGTTCCACAAGGTGTCGGCTTGTTGTGGTTGGGATTGAGCTCGGCGGGCGAGCGAGGGGGCAGCCCAGTTCATCCGACTCCTCACGCACTGCCCCTCGCCAACTCGGGCCCCTCCGAAGCGGCCCATCCCCTATTCCGGAGCCGCTTGCCTACGTCCCCCCCCACCCTTCCCGAGCCCGGACTCCTGGATTAGTGCTGTGCAGGGACCGGATAGTTATGCAGCAGGAAATCGAAACGAGAAAAGACATTTTCCGGTGTGTACCTCACCAGCTTCTGTGGAAGGTTGAACAGACGCCCGTGCGGAGGCATGAAGAGTACGACTATAAAAAAACCTTTCCCGGGCACGAGGCATGATTCCCCAACATTTGGCTCGTTGCACAATCGAAGCTTGTAGCATGATATATTCCAAGGTAAATGTGGTCAAACTTATGTTTGCACAAGGCCTGTTTCGAAAACATTGCATCTGCCCTAGGGCAAATCGAACATTTCCCGGGCACGAGGCATGATTCCTCAACATTTGGCTCGTTGCACAATTGAAGCTTGTAGCTTGTGGTCAAATTTATGTTTGCACAAGGCCTGTTGCGAGAACATTGCGTCTGCCCCAGGGCAAATCGAACATTTCCCGGGCACGAGGCATCATTCCTCAACATTTGGCTCGTTGCGCAATTGAAGCTTGTAGCTTGATATATTCCAAGATAAATGTGGTCAAATTTATGTTTGCACAAGGCCTGTTTCGAGAACATTACATTTGCCCTAGGGCAGTGCAGATATTCGGGCACGCCAGTCTGCCTTGAAAACGTGGTTCGGCTTGACCGCCTCTGCACGCACGTCATGGCGCCTTGACTGCACATTGCCGCGCGAAGAAGGCTTTACGTGCATCAGTGCATGCCGCTGAGACGCTAGCTGGGCTTGGTGCCGGCATTTTGGGCGCTGCGGCCTACACTACATCCAACTGGGATGTGGTGGGTATGACTTCCGGCTGCGCACCTAACTCCATAAACAGGCTACAAATCCAACATTTTTATGGCTTGCAAAAACACGGAAAGCCGGTATTCGAGGACTTGCCACGTCTGGGCGCGGCGCACAAGTAGACCAATCTTTCCAGAGGCAAGCTTTGTTTGCGATTCAATGTGAAAAGATTTTGTCCAGCCCATCTGATTGCAAGCAGGAAGCATGACCGCATCGACTACAAGGCCATTCGACGCACTAAATTAATCTGCACTGGATGAACAAATGCTGTGAGGTGTTAAGTGTTGGGGGAAACATGTCATTTCGCGCTTTCGGCAGGCGATCAGTCCGACATAGCCTTTACTGCAACTGGTTCTTTTGCATTCACTGAAAGGCTCAACGTCAAAGCTTGCATCGCGATGACTTGAACGACCTGATGAGCCTTACCATAGGACTGGACGTTGCGCTGTGTGACTGTGATGTTTTGCCTAAGCCGGCATCTCCAAAGCGAGGACGGATGGATATGCCCAGCCTTTAGTTTTTACAACATGTAGTTGCAAAAGGGGGGGGATCGCTGCACTGTTCTCGGTAGATTCCAAGGTACAACCTCGTTGGTGCCTTGCTTTTGACCTTTGCCTTGCAGTGGATTACGAGTAGAATCTCGGAGCGCAGTTGGGCCTGCAAGTTCTCCGCGCCTTCTGCCATTGAGTAGTCTTTTTGGCTTAGCCTGTGGACGTGAGGCGACATCATTGCGGCACCTGATGTCAAGTATTGGCCAGCTTGGTATTCCACTGTGTTCGTGATCTGTTGTTTTAGCTCCGCGGCTTGGCTGTTTGGAAAGCATCGCTTGAAAATTGCACCACCCATGAATTGATGGCTGCACGACCTCGAGGTCGGATACCTTCTTTTCTCCTTGTGGTTCGCTATGCAGTGCTCGGTCACTTGCCAGGTGCCAGGACATGCATGCTGTGTTGCGCGTATCGGCCGAGCACCTGTCAAATTTCTTGTCCAGTCGCTGGGAACGAGACTGCGGATCAACTTTGCGAGGCTCGTTCGGGATTGCAGAGCTGCTCGTGCTGTCACGAATATAGACCTACGCATGTACTTCCACGGCGCCCACCTTTTGCCACGAACTTTTGCCACGAACCCCCACGTTTGGCAGAAATTTTCGACATGCGAAATGCAAGTTGTCTCGAATTTCTCATATCTGTCCAGGTGCTTCAATGACATCGGAAGCCATGCCAATACATGCCAAGCTTCGGACATAATCAAGCAGGTTCACCCTGAGCAGCTTGCGTCAGCACCAAATTCCGACAACCAGATTTCAAATACCCTCCGGGCTGAAACAAGCGAGATCACATGATACTAAATGCCCTTGATTTTCTTAGTTCCTCCCAATGTCGCATGACACATTTGGATAATTTAGCTCACTTACTTGGAGGTCAAACAAATTAAGGATGTTTCGAAGTTGAACTTAACCTTCTTGTTCTCATCAAGAGCTAATTAGTTTTTGTTGCCCGGGAACACATGATTTACTTGACAAAACCCAGAAGCGAGACTTTAGTCTATATCGGCTGTTTTTCGGACAAGGCTATTGCTTTTGAATCTCAGCCCGGCGCGAAGCCCCTCCACAAAGAAAGGAAACTAAACCCTAAGCCGGTCCTCAGCCCTAAAAGCAGAAGGGGCCTGTGTCCGCTCCCCTAGTAGCACCACCCTCAAACCCTGCCCGTATGCTACCCTCCAACTCTTTGAACTTCGAACCCTAAGCTCCAAACCCTTTTGAGGCTGTCAAGTCCCTTGCAACCCCAACTCTTAAGGCGGGACCCATTCGGGGAAACAGAAAACATAGCATAGATAGATGTGCTGTTAAGTATCTATTTGGGGTACTGGCATGTTTGTTTGTGAACTCATTTATCTTTAAGAATGCTGGGTTAGGTGTTTACTGCAGAAGTTCTCAGAATCTCCCGGAGAGCTGGGGGACGACGCAGACAGACACAGATGCGGATAGGTCAGGGTTGTTGACATGGGCAGCTTCTTGTGCTCCAAGTGCTTGAGCGACAGCTGTCACGACAGCAGTGTGGAGGCCGAAACACTGCCATGCCACATGCCGCATCATGGCATCTGTTGAAAGCAATGTGAAGACATGTCACCACGGCACACACACACACACACAACACGCGCTCATGCCTTCAGCTCAACCCATCGCTACGGTGTGCCTTTTCGCGGTTTTGGCTTGCTGGGCTTCTCCAGAGGGCTTCAGCTGCCCATCCGGAAAGGGCGACGGTCCCTCTGGTGCTGGATCAGTGAAGCTGGTGCCGGAGGGCCGGCTTTTTGCCAGCGAGCCGAAACCTGAACTGTTTGGAAACCCAGGCAATCCAACACCAGGGTCGCCAGAATCCCATCTCTGGTCACAGAAGAATTGGCTGAAATCACGATTTCATTTTAATTTTGCGGAGTATGGTCATGGCCCACACAGCTTCGGAGTGTTGAGAGTTATGAACGATGATTTGGTGCAGCCGCGCCGTGGATTTGGAGCACACCCACATCGGGACATGGAGATCCTTACTGTGATCGTTGATGGGAAACTAACCCACAAAGACTCCACAGGAGCAGAAGAGACTCTTGGACGTGGTAGCATTCAGTTTATGACAGCTGGGACTGGCGTGCTTCATTCGGAGCACAACTTGCAGGAGCAGCCACTGCGCTTCATCCAGTGCTGGGTGCTGCCGCGAAAACGTGGGCTTCCTCCAAACTATGGGTCCATGCAAGTGGAACAGATAGTACAGCAACAAAGGCGCAACGAGTGGTTCCACGCAGCCTCTGATGTATTACAGCCAAACACAACGCCGATCAAAGTCAACCAGGACATTGCTTCGATGTTTCCCAAACTATAGTCGACCAATTGCAAGCAAGTTTGCGCATATGTGCAATGGAATTTTGCCTTTAGCTGAAATCAACAGCTTCGGCTGAGAGTCTAGATAGCGTGGCTTCACTGTGGCCTTTGGCCATTGTTCAGGGCAATCTCAGACCACTTTCCGGCAACCATCCTACTGTAGGAAACACAACGATTCTTCCGAAAATAACATAGCCTGCGTTGCAGCTGCAGTTCATTTCCCTGCAAGGACTGCAATGTTCACATTGCTGAGCTTACTCCAGACACCACAACAGCAGCTTTACCAATCAGTTCTGGCCGTCAGGGCTATTTGTTGTGCGTTGAGGGAGACGTGCGCTTAACGGCGGGAGATGGCCAAAGTCACGACCTGCAGCAACATGATGGAGCTGAGCTAAAGGGACCATTGCTGTTAGAACCAGTGGCGGGCGCAAAGGGAGCACTCCTGCTGCTTTTCGAGATGGAGCTCACGACAGACACCCGAGGTGAGTTGTTGTGATGATGCCAAACACGCATTGGTACAGGAGCCACAGCTGTTGGAACTCTACATGAGGGGACTCAGTACACTCTGCATGCGACGGACATAGCACGTCCAATGCGGATGGTGAGATGCTCGTCTCAGCATGAGGTGTCACTAAAATATGTACAGAACACCACCTTTTGGCAGTGTTCAGCTGTCCTTTCTTGTTGTTGTGAACAGCGGAAGTCATGCGAGGCTTTCATTGCCAAGCAACGAGGACATCTCACGCTTGAAGGTGCCATCCATTCTTCGGGCACGCAAGAAGCCAGTCGAGTAACTGACAATTTGCGGAATCTATGTTGAACTTCGTTTTGTCATTGAGGTGCCTTTCTTTATCCCAGGCGGCGCCCCGTGCTCAGGTTTTTCCAGCAAGACATGATTGTTTGCCATTGTGTTCCAGCAGCCTGTCGGTTTGAGTGTCACAGCTTGACTAGCTCCCACAGAGTGCAAACGCTGGAGCAACAGCGGAGTAACATTGCATGCAAAGCGCGGGCCTTCAGGGCTTCAGTCTCTTTCCTCCTGGCCACTGGTCGGCTTTCAGAAGTCGTTCTGTGGATGGGAAGTTGTCAAATGACAGCGGTCCGCGTATGCTATCGCGAGCGGCAACATCCGGCCTGCATGTTCATCCGTTCAGGTCTGTCCAGTGCTGTCAAGTGGGTCTGCGGGACCAAGGCGTTGGAAAAGATGCAGAACCGGATCTTCGAAGCTGACGGAGAGGCCCTTGAGCAAGGGCATATGCAGCTAACAGGCAATATCCAGGCAACGTTGCAGTGGGCTTCAGCTTTTCAAACAAAGCAGACAAGACCTGCTTCGATGATAGACGTATCTCGCCACAGGCCGACAACGGCAACGCGACACACAAGGCCCAGGCCACTTGGTGTGCCGGCTTTCCGCATGTTTTCGCATTGCACACGTTAGCTGGTTTGAAGCATGAGCTGTCAGTGTACAGGAATTTCTTCAAGAGCTCAGAAAAGAAGAGCAGGAGGCTCACACAGGGGCCGAGAGCTGGTTTTACACGAAGTGTCTGGGGGCATCAAACAAAAGAAAGCATGACATGACTGCATCTGCAGTCCTGTGGCCAGGCCAGATTCCAGCTGCACATGTTGTGTGATAGACCACCCTCCAGTCGAGGGTTTGGCCATAGGCTTCGGAGGGTGCTTTGGCTCGCCAGGCAGATTCCACCTCCAGTCCGGCATCGAAGCTGGAGCCCGCGGCAAGGAGTGTGACTTTCAACCACTGGAGAACCGATCACGGCGACAAGGAGTCGAATCTCAGGGGTCGTTGTTCAGGAAGCTTTACCGCTTCATGCCAGGATGTTTTTAAAGCTCGGTTCAAAGGGCCAGCCGCCGCAGGATGACAGCGACCAGGACTTTGAAAAGCACTTGCGGCGGTGGCTATACGAACGCGGACAGTGCTTGCCTCACAGGTGCTGGACAGCATAATGAGGGCGAGAGTACTGAGTACAGCAAAAGCATAAACGGGCCATGGCTGAACGAGAACAAAAACCGAGCAGGAGATGACAGAATACTCCTGCGACTCACTTGTGACCACCTCACCTGGGTCACTTGTGCCCACATGCTCGCTGGTCACTTGTGCACGCGCACTGTCACGGTCTCACGGTCTCGTCCGCTTCGAGGTGTTTTGGGCTGTCACGGTCTTGTCCGCTTCCAGGGGTTTTGGGGCTGTCACGGCCTCGTCCGCTTCCAAGAGTTTTGGGCTTGTCCGCTTCTAGGGGTTTTGGGCTGTCGCGGTCTCGTTCGCAACTGTCCTCAAAGCAAGTGAAAGAAAGGATACGCGAGAAAGGACAGGGAGAGAAGAGATTTGCTTCTACACGCGACTCCAGCAGAAGCCTTCGCAAACACTTGTGGGAGAAGGCTTTGAGTGTCATGCGCAGGGAAGCACTGCGACCCTGGCAATCGAGTGCTGAGGTGGCTCAGTGCGGATGCATACGCAAGAGCCTGCATGGTGGCAGCTCGGCGTTCGAAGCACGCAGGCCGAATGCTTCCAGTGAAGGTATGTGTTGCAGCTTCACGGCTGAGGTCGGTATGAACCAGATGTTGCAAGCTTTGACTTACCATGTTGCTTGAGGCTGAGCTGGCTGAGTGAGCGCTGACTTATTCGCAGTCGCTCTAAGAGTTCACGTCACTTTTGAAAGCCGAGTCCAGATCCCAGGTGGCCACGGTGTGGAAAGTGTCGGCGCTGACCTCCATTGCTTGCCTCTTGCTGGCCAAAGCTTTATCAGCATCTCGGTGAGATTCCTTTGCTTTTCCTTACTTTGGTGTTGTGACAGACTGTGTTTGTTTCAAGGGCGCAGGTTGCTTGTGCGTGTTGGTCGTCAGTCAGCGGTGGCTCGAACTGTCGCAGGCCACCGTGGCTGTTGAGCAGCGTTGTTGGGTCGTAGGTTCTTCCAGACAGCCAGTCAATCCAGCCAGCCCAGTTGTTCATGCTGCAAGTGGACATTGGAGTCCGGCGGTACTCTTGCCTCGGCGACCTGGTCAGGGGATGTGGGGGGGTCTCTTCATTTAGGATTCTTCAGGACCCGGGTCCGGAGTTGGCGAGGTCATTGTTGATTCGTTTCTGCCAGTTAGGGCCGCTCCCAATTACAGCCTCCAGCACAGTGTATGGCATGGGACGACATTCTACAATCGACATCCATCAGCGGGAAAATGGCTTGCCAAAGGTGACCTTGAAAACCATCCACCAATGTGCTGGTGCATGACGTGCATGACGTGCATGTGTGTGTGTGTGCGCGCGGCTTGCGACTCAGGTCTGTCAATGGTGATGTTGCAGCTTAGCTAAGAGAGGAGCGGAACAGGCAGTTCGCAAATCTAGTTCGTTTTGGCATGCACAGGTTACAAGGTTTCCTAAGGCATGAAGGGCCAACAAGCCCGAGCTGAGGTTGGAGGTGCTTCCACCAACCTATGCTACGCAGCCTGGCAGAAATTCTGCCTTATTTTGCATTCACGGATCTCAGACTCAACTCTGCCAGGATGTATTTGTTTATTTATGTGCCCGGTATTCAGTGGCCTGGCTGGTTGCAAGGCCGCCTGTGTGAACCGTTCGTTTTGTGGACAGCACTCAGCAAATCTGCAGACAAGATGATAATGCTCATGGTAGGAGTGGCCTGCTTGCCTGTCTTCTTCATGCATGGCATTTGGATGTGCTACTTGCAAGGGCCTCAGCGAATGATGTCGCAGGCAGGCTTGAGGTTGTTCAAGAAAGGAACGCAGATCTGCTTTAGTGGAACAAGTTTCGCAAATTCATGGGGATTGTGTGTGTGTGTGTGCGTGTGTGTGCACGGGCGTGTGCGAGTGTCTCTGTGTTTGTGTGTGGGCTGTCCGTCTGTCTCTGTGTCTGTTTGTCTCTGTGGCTGTCTCTGTGTTTGACTCTCGCTCTCTGTCTCTCTCTCTCTGTGTCTGTCTCTCTCTGCTGTGTCTGAGTTTTTGTTTCTGTTCGGTGTCTATGGGTGTATTTGAGTTTGCCTCTGTGCTTGTCTCTGTGTCCTGCGTAGAGCTCGTGGCTGGCATGCAGGAGTTACCAGCTTTCCCCTACCAGCGGAAATCGCCACCTGGCTTGCAGATGAAGGGGCGTGGGCTGAGGCTTGTGGGAGTGCGGGAGAAGAATGTTCAGGCAGGAGGTGCATGTGCACTCGCCAGGCTGGGTGAGCGGGCAAGAACCCATGACACAGAAAGAGAACAAAGTCGTGCATGTGGTAGTCGGATAAACTTATCCTCGCGTGGGTTACTGCACCTTTTTCCGCGAGCAATGCTGAAAGCGCCGTGCTTGCCACATGAAGCCAATGGGTAGGAATGTCAAAGGTTTTTCTCGATTAGGGGAGGGGGTGGCCCCCCCCCCCCCCGAGGCCCCCTTCAACTTATGAACTTATGCTCGCATCGATCAACGTGCAGTGATGTGTTTGTTGCGCCGGCAAATCCGCAGCATCACACGTGCAAGACTATCTGTGTTGTACGTGCCAAGCCGTAGCGTCACATGTACAATATTTGTCATGCGATTATGATAAAGCTGTGTTGATTTTTGTCCGGTTGTGCCCCGTCGTCGGGACGCATGTGCGAGGATGCTTACACCGTACGCAGAAAGCCCATCTGAGGGACCTAGCTTTCGTCCGCCCTGCTCTCAAGTCTTCTTGCAACTGTTCTTTGTCGGCTTTGAACCCTTCAATCAGCAACTCCAAACCGCAGGGTCATTGGTTCCCTAGACTAGAGTCTAGAGGTTTGTGGGTGCAGTCAAGCGTCAGGAGCTCAACAGAGCCAAGCTGAGCCCGGAAGCCTCCACCTTCTCCTAGAGAGCTATACTATTTTCGTGCGTAAACTTACGATATAATATTAAGTGCGTTGCGAGCTCACTTAACAAGGGCACATGATGAAGGTGGTAAGCGTACGTTCATTCCATTCACTTCTCCCTCTTTGAGAGGATTTTGGAAAAGGATATCATTTGTAACCGCTGGCTTGTTCGTGAGTTAGTAACCACCCGTCAAGGAACGCCCAACAAAACCATTAAAATTTTCAAAGTACAAGCGCATTCGCTTGCCATGTTAAGCATAAAACGCTCGCGGCGTTGACGGGGTGGGGTGTTCAGCGATGTTCAGGGCTCCGGTTTATGTGTGGATGTTCATTCTTAACGTGATGCCATCATTGTCTCCGAAGTTTTCCTGTCACTCATCAAGAGTGTGTTTGGTTTGGTCATTGGCTTGACGGAGCAGCTTAGATCAGGCCAACATGCGAGGAGGTGTTGGTTCTGAGAGACTAGTTAGATGAGGCGGCATAGTTGACACCACTGCTCCGCTTTAGTTTGGTCAAGGTGGCCAAGCTGTCGATGTAGAGGACTTCCTGTCTGATTCCGATGACACATCCAGCGGGTCGGAGGTGGTTGACGAAGACATTGTAAGGCCCTTTCGCACAGCACAACGTGCACAGTGCTGTACGGCGATTCAACGTGGCAGGCAGCGATTCCAAATGAGGAGGGGCTTCTACGGAACGGAGTTTTTGCCACACCGGCTCCTTGGAATGCCTTTTTTTCGGTATGATGCTGCATTCCGATGTGGGATGCAGTTCGTTGAAATGCAGCCCACGTAGGGGCTTAGGGCATGTTTCTGTTGCTTCGGGGCATGTTTCTGTGGCTTCAGGGTGATTGTTTACGGTGGTGTTTCTGTTGCTTCGGGTCATTGTTCAGGCGGTGTTTCTGTTGCTTCGGGGTGATTGCTTCGGCGGTGTTTTTGTTGCTTCGGGTTGCTTCGTGCACCTGGGTTTGTGAGGTGGTGTTTCTGCGGAGCAGCAGGTAGTCAATAGGGGCTCTCCGCTCAGGTTGAAAGCAAACAAGCTGTTCAACATTATCGAGCGCCTTTGGCAAAGTCAAGCTCTGCTGCACTTGTGAGACTTCGGGCCCCACCTAAATTTGTTGAATTGTGGACACATGGGGGGGGTGCCGAAGCCGTCGGGCAAACTCTGAAGCCCAGGCTTGAGGGTCACATTCCAGAAGATGAGCTCCGAGATGCAAAAGCTCCGGCCGTGGACCCAATGCCAGGTCACTGCTGGGAGACTGAAATGGGGCTTAATGACTTGACTCAAACTATTAATTTTAACGCTACGCGACCCGCCTCGGCCTGACCCAATGCAGCTCTCGCAGAGGGTGCCAACGTTTCGGGGGTGGGTGGGGGGCCTTCTGTAAAAAGAACCGCATTGCCTCCTGGTCGCCGCAAACAGTCCGCTTTCAGTTCCCGGTTCCCTTCCAGGCAAAAAAAGGGGCGTGTGGCTTTGGGCTTGGGGGAGGATTTGGAGGGGGGTGCTTGTTCTCACAACCTAGACACCTTCGGCCCGAGGCCTCGACGGATATGATTCAAGCCACGGCTGACGCCAAGGGTTTTTTTCATGCAAGGTCGTTTGGAACCACATCCTGCCTACACTGATTCATCCAGTTTCAGAAAATCCGGCTAGACATGCTTGCTTATGGACTTTACTTCCTACCACTGTCAATTGACAGGCAGAGTCTCCGTGAACTTCACCTGGTTCTTGGCCGTGCTGTGGATTCTGGCAGCGATCTTACAGTAGCCTGTGAATCGTGTCATGCTTGGTGGGCTGGCAGAGTTGTCAACGACCCTGAAATCATTCTCAAGACTGCCCAGCTGCGATATACATATATATACATATATGTATATTTTTTTCTCAAACCATCATCAAAAAAGCAGAATTTGACGTATGTGCAGAAACTTGCGGCCTGTGAAGTAGGCATTTGTTTACAGTGAATGTTACCGCGTTGGGGTGGAGTCTTGTGAGCTGTTGACATGTTCCGCTTGCCACCCCCCAGAGCGGCATCATTCACGCCACTGGCCAGATCTATGGCAGTCCGGCTGCATTCTTTTGCGACAGGCGGCCTTTGATTGAATCATGGTTCTTTGCAAAGTCGCGGCATGATTGGTTAAGACCTGCGTTTCTTAGGGGACGTTTTGGAAGCAGAGCCAAGGCTTCGATCAAGCAGCCATTATCGACTGCTCAGACGACAACTGCACGACCAGTGGCTGCCTGACTCCAATCCTAGGAGCAGTCCATATATGAGGCTTTGAGGCTTCCCGGCACTGCAGCCACGAGTGGCTTCAGCACCTCCACGTCGTTCTACCCGTCCGTTCGCAGTGCTGAGTCCTAGCGACGCAAAGCTCTGGCAACTCCATCTGCAGCATATCCCCACGGCGGTCATCTGAAGAATCCAATCTCTCAGTCATGTGGTGTTCAGTTCCCAAGCGAGACCTAGGAAGGATCTTTTTTCGTCACTCGATGCCCTGTCCTACTAAAGACGAAAGAAGGTTCTTGAATATCCCGACAGCTCCTACGAAAAGATTCTCCGGGCACAGTCAGCTCCTTCACTCCCCTTCCAGAACCCTCACTAGCGAGCCATTCTGCAGTGGCACATGAATCCTTATGCCTGATGAACGAGAGTCAAGATTGGGAGACAGTGAACCCAAGCAAATGAACAAGGCTGCGACTCTTCGTACTAATTCGGTGGCCACAGTAGGAACGCAGTGGAACGTAGTGGAACGCTCAAGTTCGGAGGCCAGAGTGTTCCTATCTGGCCTCATGCCCGGCCACGTCCACAGGCACCCGCAAGGCCCGCCGAGGCATTGTGAAAGCGTAGTTTAGGAATAAGAGGTTTAACATGCTTTCACCATCTATTGAATTGCTCTTGACTATTCCTTGCCCCATAACGCAGAACCCAAGTCCAAAGGGCAACCCGGCCAGATCAGAGCACTGGCAGGCACCATCCCTTACGACGGCTTCGAGGGCATTGCCCCAAGCTAACAACAGCTTCATCGCATGGTCAAGTTCAGAAAGGAATGGATGGCTTCGTATTCCCAGGTCTGGTCCAAGTCCGTCCTCCCAGATACAATGTGATTGGCCTGCTCCGGCGAGTTTGTTCGAGGCTACGTATGCCAAGATGATATATGTCAACAATGCATGAATCACATGATGTCCAGCAGTTGTTCTGTGAAGGTCAAGGCTTTGCACTGCGGCAGGTGCCCCGCCCAGCATTGGAACGAAGTAGCCTGGAGGTCACGCTGATACGTCGTTCCGTCTTGCAAGGAACAGCTCCCACATTTTCGTGCACAATGGCTTCGCCACCTTTGAATCGGAAATCGTGAGTAGGAGACTTGGTGAACTCAGGAGGCAGGATTGGACAATCTAGCCCAGGGTTGGAGTCACCATTCGGCCTGCACTACAGACTTCGGACTTGAGCGCCCTTCGGGGGTTACGCTCGCAGAGAGAGAGAGAGAGAGAGAGAGAGAGAGAGACACACACAGACAGACAGACAGAGACCGACCGAAACTGAGAGAGAGAGAGAGAGAGACAGCCGCAGGCGCTTCTTCACTAGCCACCACAACAACGTGGGGGCGCGCTCCTATGCCCCAAGAAAGAAAGAAAGCAAGAAAGAGAGACAGAGAGGGAGAGAGAACAAAAAAAGAGAGCGAGAGAGAGAGATCGCCCAATCCGGGTCGGGTTTATCACCTGGGGCAGTGCCATAGCGGACATCTCCCAGCCTTCGGGCCCTTGACGATGGCCACCGCCAAAATGCGAGGGTGCGCAGACTGCGCGGGCGCGCCAGCCCCCAAGCCCCAAGAAAGAACAAAAAGAAAGAACGAAAGAAAGAAAGAAAAGAAAGAAACACAAAGAAAAAGAAAGAGAGACGGAAGGAAGAGAAAAAATAAGAACAGAAATGGTCGTGGCCGGGGTTTCTTTTGCGGCGGGCCCCTTTTCTGGGTAGAAGAAGAAGAAGAGGAGGAAAAAGACACAAATTACCCCACCGAAGACCCTAAACAGTCAAAGGCACATCAAAGAAACAGTGGAGACAACGGGAGAGAAAGGGAGACGAAGGGAGACAAGGAGCGATCATGGCTCACTCTGGTATTTAAGCCCTCCCCCCCGCCCCCAACCGTCCTCAGATGTCCTCAGAAAGTTGCCAATCCTTTAAATGAATTTAGAACCGCAACAGTACACTGTTTGGGGATTAAAAAAGAAAGAACGAAAGAAAGAGGTTTGAAACAGGATGGGTTGAGGGGTGAGTACAGGGTCAGCAACAGGTCCGACAGCCCGAGCCGAAAAGCGGCCCACTTTCAAGCCTCCAGCAAGGGGTCTTTCTCCTCTCCGCTGTGGAGGGAAAGAAGAAGAGCGCACGTGCCTGTTTTCATATTTAAACATGTTTTCATATATACATATAAACACAAATGCATACATACATACATACATACATACATACATACGTACAAACATACATTCATTCAGTCATTCATTCATATATTCACAGAGACATATCTATATACACATACATCCCGCGCCCGAACCCCCACTTGCACTCGCACCAGCACCCGATCGCGCACCCGCATACTCACCCGCACCCGCACCCCACCCACACATGCACATGCAAGCGCACACGCGTGGGTGCGCACGCCCACGCGCGCACGCGCACAAGCCCAGCGCACACGCGCGCACGCGCGCACCCGCACGCGCGCACCCGCACCCGCGAACCCGCACCCCCGCGCCCGCACGCACACGCGCACGCGCACGTTCACGCGCACGCAAGTGCATTCATGTGTGCTTGCGCATGAGCACACGCACGCCACGCACACGCACTTCACAGGCAACGCAGACGCGGACACACGGACAGACACAAAGACAGACACAGAAACAGACACGGAGACAGAGGTTCAGAGGTTCAGAGGTTCAGAGGTTCAGAGGTTCAGAGGTTCAGAGGTTCAGAGGTTCAGAGGTGCAGAGGTGCAGAGGTGCAGAGGTGCAGAGGTGCGGGGGTGCAGGGGTGCAGAGGTGCACAAGGCAGAGGCAGAGACCGAGACAGAGGCAGACCCACAGACAGAGCCATGGCGTTCCGCAGGCTTGACATGCCACAAGTCAACTCCGTGATGACGCTTGGCTTCAGCCGGCCGTGTACAGTGCAAGCAACGCCACAACGCATGGTGCTAACAACAGCGCAGACAAACAACACTAGCAGCCAATCATGATGGCCGTCCCGCAGGTTTTGCGAAATTGGCGCGTGCTTGGCACTGATACCTGGATCCTTCCCATACGATCCTTGGAGCTAGAAGCCCAGCACACCTGGCACTGATCCTGCCATGTAGGATGTGGGCAACTCTAGCCGCACTGTTGCGACCCAGGCCTAAGACCATTGTCATCGGCTGCCTCTTTGGAATTGATGCCGAACTGCAGCTTGAGTTAGCTTGTTCATGTTGAAGTATACGATTCTTCGAAGTGACCTTTGTCAGGAGCAGTTGAAAAACCAATTTGCAGCCTGTGAAGCTTGTGAGCCATTAGTTTTTCTTCTTAATTATTATCACTATGTCGATCCGATCCTTCACCCTTTGTGGACGACAGAGATTCCGAGGAACGAACACACTGTACAGAACGCGGGGGCCCCAGACGCAAGTTGGGATGTGATCTGGAGCGCTCTCGGTGCAGGTTTAGGAACACAAGAACCTGCTCCACAACACAACCACATGACAGAAGCACTGGCTATGACGTGCAGTTGCTCCCACACCATATGGATGGAGCAGAGCAGCCTTTCGGAAGTGGTTACAAGCACTTAGGCAGCTGCAATAGCAGAATATCGACATCCATTCAATGCCGCGCATGTGCAAGCAACGGCATTCTTGTTGAAGATTCCTCCGTTGACAGTAAGGCATGTATTGCCATGGAGACCATAGGTTCGACATGGTTCGAGATGCTTGGATCCATCCTAAAGCCACGTGTTGGGATTCGCTAACTGGAGCCAGAACCCAGATCCTGACCTGAAAGACGAAAACGACAACTCCTGACCCCCTAGTCCTCAACCCAGCTGTGTGGAAGTCCAACGTCTCATTGATGTTCTGAACAACGCGCATGACAATGCAAGGAACAATGCAAGCATGCCGAACCCAAAATGACTGTCAACGCGGCACAACTCCACAGACCAAGGCGTTCCCCATAGCATATCCCACAACAGCCGTATGTTGAGTCGCGTCTCCAAAAAGAACTGCCTGCCATGGCTGCTTCTCGAGAGGTCTCGATTCCTGAAACTTGGCGCCTCGTCTCCGCTGTCTGGGCGGAGAGTGGACGGATTTGGCTTGCAGGTGGGGCCATAGTGACAGTGGGGTCACGCGCAGGCCCCTCAGCACTGCGATGGTGCCATGTCAATCTTGAACACAGGCTGGGATGGTAGCAGCATCACTGCAGCCAAACTCTTGCATGACACCTGGCTGCACTTGGACATTGAGCAATCACTAGCAATCACTTGACCACCTTGTCTTTGCGTCATAAGTTGCCAAGGCAGGTCCCCAAAGATCTTGGCGCCTTGAACAAAGCTTCAAGGTGGGGGGGGGGGGGGGTATTTTTTCGAAGGCGAGGGTCTAGGACGCTGAGCACACATTGCACGACTCGCAATTTCAGGAATCGATTTGTGATTAGGAGCAGAATATGGCTGCGGTTCAATAGTCCAGGATATCTCACACACAACACAACAGAGGGATACACCGAGTTTGTCAGAAAGCCGTGCTCTTTTGTGACAAGACCCCGCCGCGACCTCCTTTGCAAGCAGGCCTCCGAAACAGGACCGTGACACAGGGGGGCGTGACATATTCTTTTTGTAAAACGAAACACAGGGGGAGAGCGGGACCCCGCGACATACCGAGGCTTTGATTCACGTAATATGAGCAAGTACGTAGGTGTTACATGACACAATATACCTTCCTCAAGTCTTCTACCAAGAGCTGCATAGGCCTCATCAAAATCCAAACTGTGTATCTGCTACCGTGCCATTACAGGGCAGCATGCATCGAATTCTTCAGGTGCGGCCTGGCGCAGGCAAGGTGGCGGGGGGCGCGCAAAGTGTTGAGTCCGTGGCTACATTCCACATTTTTCCAGAGCAATCCGCCTGCAAGGCCTTTGCCATGCGGGCAAAGAGACATGCGACAGACGTGTGGATGGCAGCTACATCGATGTACAGGCGCTGCAGCTGAGTGCTGGAGGCAAGAAAGGGTGCGCGCTTGTCCAGTGAACGCGGTGGGATTCCATGGAGCGACGGTCTTCGAAAAACGGACATCTCACTGTATGTCTGTCCGGCAGCTAGCAGTGCTCTTGGTGTCAGGCAACAGCCTCGTCATCCTTCATGGTACCTGGGTCGCACTTGAGCTGCCACTTGCACGTGCAATGATGTGGCGGGAAGCAACGGGGCTTCACTCCAACAACGACTGTTTATTCCGCGTGCCCTGGCCTTCTCAAGCTCCGAACAAGTCGGTGAGTGTGAATGGATAAGGTGGGCAGTTCCTGGATTCCTGGGACTTGGAGATTGGTGCCTTCACAGGGCAGATACGGTTAGCCCGACCGTATCAGTCGCGACCTCAGCCTGAACTCGCATCGATGTGGTGCCCCAAGCCTCCTACAGCTACTTTGTTGAAGGCCGTGGCTTCTCCGCAGAGATTGCAAACTGGATGCCACACATGTGCTACTTGCTTTCATCAGGGCCATGTGCCACGACAATGCCTCGATGCGCCTTGCACGACACAGCCCTGCTGGGCCAATCCTCGAAGAAATCTCTTGGGTCGAGGCCTTAACATTGGTGGACGATGTTGCTTTGACAGACGGGTTTGGACGAGGCTTATCATTTCGACTCGGCTCTGCCGCTGCGGCTCAGGGACAGGATGAATCATTCTTAATCAGTATTCGGCAACGCGGTTAGTTGAGAAGTGCATAGAAGTGCCAAGTGAACAAATCTGTCGCCCGAGCCAAGCAGCCAAGCCATGACTCCGGAAGAGTGGGAGTTGACTCGTTGGTGGCGAGAAGGTGCAGAAGTTGGGGAATGCCACAAGGGATTCTACAAACACTGTAAGTTAGGCTTCTGCAGCTCGGGCCTCGAGTAGGCGAGCTACGAGAAATTTTGCGCGCGCGCGCTCTAATTCTGATTACAGGCCCTGGGTTGCTGGACGCGGAGCCAGCAGAGTCGGCGGAGTCGGCGGAGCCGGCGGAGCCGGATGCCTTTGAATTAGGCACGCCTCGGGGCGAGCGTCGCTGCGGCTTTGCTGCTTTGATGCACAGGTGAAGGGCACGCAATCTCATGCAGACACTGTCCTCAATCGCACCCACGAAAAGGCTATCGAAGACGAGTTCGATTGTTGGACCGAAAGTCCCAAGAAAGTGACAAAGCCGCCTGGCGCGGTGTCACCTGCCCCAGCAGGCTTGGAATGGGTTCACGAGCATCAAGACCATGGCTTCTGGCTGTCTTCTGACAAACCCCACCAGCAATTTCTTGAAAGCACCCTGCCGTCTGAGTCCTTGACTGATGCACACATGGCTTGTCCGTGGTACCCTGCTCCGACACACAAAACAGTACACTACATGGATACGAGCTGGCTTATTCAAGAATGGCCGTGGAGTCACAATCAGGTCTGCAGAACTGCACCTACGCTTGCATTCTTAGCCTGCAGGTGCCAGCTACGATCTGTCTCCGAGGAGCGACACACCCGTGGAGAAAACTGAAGCGTTCCAGCTAGAAGAAGAGGAGTGGCTTGGCCGGGCAGGTTTTGGTATGAGCAGGTCTGGCCACCTGCTCAACTGCTCAATGCCGGCTAATTCGGTTAGCATTTGCAGAAGGGGTCCTCGCATTGCTCAACTAAGGAATGCATACCTGTCTGCAGTCCAGCTGCTGAAGGAGATGGGGTCTGGCAGGGCGGAGGCAGCATCTGGAACTGGGTTTTGTAGGCTGGAGACGGAGTACCTGCAGAGTGCTGCTGACAAAGCCAAACTCAGTTCAGGCGGAGGTGGCATGGAAGACGTGCGTTCTCCGAATCTTGTTCCAATTTGGACATTAGTGTCTGCAAAAGTTCATGCTACAATCCGGCGCGTCAACTGTATGCCAATTCAGTCCTTGTTCCCGCATGGCAAGTGTCACAATGCCGATGTCAAGCCCTTCGTTGCCACAATTGTCGCCTCGTTTTTTTTGAAGACCGCTGGCCTTAGGCGAAAAACTGCGCCTTGCGAGATCTCTGGCAGCATCTCGCACTCCCCCACTACGGCGGAGCATCTCCCGCGAGGTTCAACTTTAGGTTGTTTTCACCTTCAATTTGTTTGTAGAATGTATGTGGCTAGCAGTTTTGGCGTGCAGTCCGGCGACACGAGCGTGGACGACATTGAAGCAGGGCATGTCCCTGAAGATCTCGAGCTTTGAACGGGCCTCAGTCTACATGTGTACACGTTGCAAGACTTCATTTCTTATCGGCCTGCCGGCACACGATCCAATATGACTTCAATTCACGCCACTACATGTCCCGATCAATAACTGCACATAGCGAGGCAAAAGAACATAATAGAGGAAAGCATCTTGTGGTGGATCATAGCGCAATTGCTCTCCTGTACGGAAAGGGCCATTGTTGCCTTTGTGCCTGTGACCCCTAGGCCGCAAGCAGATGCCACGTTCTTGTCCCGAATGTCCCGCGCACTCCCATTGCGCGATAGAAGTCGACCGCAGAGCCAGACGGGCATCATAAACCTTTCAGAGTGCATTGTAGGTGATGGTCTCCCAAGGTGAAGAGTCCAACAGGACTTGCTCAAGAATGGGCAAGACATTCGCAGGTAAAGCTCAAGAATAGACCGCCAACATCAAGGCTTGAAACGTAAAACCCAGAATTTGGGGGCTCGTTGCTCGCTACTTTGCATTGTTTCTTTAATCATAGGTTTGCATGAAAAGAGTGGTGAAACAGAAGCGTTGGTCGGTTTAGTCTTTAGTGAGACATGGGAGCGAACAAGATATTTGGAACAAAGCCGTTCAGGACAGAGTGGTTTCATACAGTATGGGATCAAATGCGAACTCTTGGTACTGGAGAAGGTGTTTTGAGCACGAGTTAAAGTGCAAGGCTTCGGTTGCCTCACGGCATGCAAGCCTGATGTAAAGGCAGTTAGGGCTGGCAAAGCGACGAGGTAAAACCCGATTGCAGGCTCAGATTCGGGTCTTGCTGGAAGCGGTTTAGGCTATTCTCAACATCTGATCAGCCTTATACCCGGTGTGGCTTGACCTAAATTTATTGGCGGGAAGGGGTGAGTGGTGCGGGGCGGCCAGGGTGGAAATGGTGGAATGGTGATGGTGACTGGGGAAACGACTAAACCGGCAAATTTGGGAACTTGCAAAAAGTGATAAGCGACCATAGTCTCCAGGTCCAGCTGATTGGCCAGAGCAGAAGTTCCGCCCACTGGGCGTTGACTTTTCTTTCAACTTCGCGGCACTGGAGATGGCTGAGCAGGAGTATGAGGCTGCACAGCGGCTGCGCTGTCATGTTCTTGCGAAGGTTCGCATTTTTTGTTTGCACAACAGGCAGAGGCCCGAGCATTACTTCGCGAAGTCCTTTCCACTTGGCAACGGGCGGTCAGATCCCGTGCAATGGCGCGATAGTCGCTGCTGGTAAGATGCTCAAACACCTTCCTTTGCTTGAGGCATGTATTGTGGATTGCAGAAACAAGCCTCCAGCTGCTAGACGGTGCTAGAGGTATCGATTCGAATCGATAAAAGCATCACAGTCTCGCACCTCTGCCGGCCCAGAAAGTCACCACATGTCACCTTGAATTGTTTCTAGCTCGTAGAAGCTGTAATTTGATATTGCAGCCGTCGGGACACTGGTGCTTGCAAGTTACACTGCGACAAGTTAGCCGACGCAGCTTGGATGGGACGAGTGAAAAGTGTTGAACCAGGCAGGTTTTGATAGACCAGTTGCACCAGAGAAGCCGACCTGTGCGCAACAGGCGCTCGACAGCCCTGGAGGGCTTTTTTTTCCAGCTACAGCATGCGGACGCAAAGGCGTCGGCTCATGGTTTTGCCCTTTGGGTTTTGCGGTTTGGCCGCCGGTGCTGGCCAGACATGCATAAGCTCGCTTAACCACAAAAATGTCTGCATGCCCCCTCCCCTACACTTCGCTTTCGCTGTTGCCCGATGCAACAGAAGCAAGCAACCAGCTTCATCTATGCACAAATCTTGACCCAGAAATCATGGGTCCCTGCTGATGGCAACTGCTTGCAGCAGTTAGAACTTTGTGGTGCTCAGCTGTACAGGAGGCGTGTGCGAGAAATAGTTTTCTGCAGGACCGAGGCGTGTAGCTGATGTCAGTCATGTGCGCAATTGTTTCTGTAAGTAAGGGGATTGCTGAAGTGATGTGGGCATGGCATCAAGGCTTCCGGCCGTTTCTACTGAAGCAGCAGGAGACTCGCTCTTATTTTGAGTAGTGCATTCAAAGCAGCAATTCGACCTCTACCCACAAGCGGTATGCAGAGAGGTCATGAGTGTCTTCATTGGCAAAAGAGGACCTTGTTCAACGTAACTTTGGTGGCTTCTCGTGCAAGCATTACGGAGGCTTGCGGCTCTTGCCACTGGAGCCCCGCTTGAGCCTCGCATTCTCCTGCAGCATTGGTTCGCATATCGGTCAGAGTTCATCATGCCAGCAAGCCAGTGTTTCATGACGTGTGCTTGCTACGGCATCAGAAAGTAAACTCTGCGAAGATCCAGCGAAAGAGGCAGCACCATCCCAGTACCATCCCCCAAGCGTGGGTTTCCTAGCCCTGTTAGATGCCCTAAAGCTTCAAGCTGCAACTGCCATGGCACTCGTGCCTGGACCAAGAAAGACGGCCACGGTGTTCGCGCGGGTCCTGCATGGATGAGTATAAGAGAAGGTTCTTAGGTGTTGGATGTTGGTGCAGATTGAAACTTTGCACAAGGTCGGGAACATTCCTTACGATGCCACAGAAGATGCCCGGGGTTTAGAGCAGGGTCTTGAACGGCAGTGGTATTCACAAGAATCGGCGAGCTTTCAGGATGTCCGCGCACATTTATCCCAAGCTGGCAAAGCCCGTGCCTTCGAATCTTGCGCTGATGATGTTTCCCCATGCTTCCCCCACGTCCCGCAACAGAGAGCGAGAGCCTCTCCTGGATTTAAGGTGGATTCCTTCCGCATGGTCTTCGACAAGGCTACGAATTGACTGTCCTTCGGAGTTTGGGAAGTCCAGCCTAGTCCACACGGGCCTTGAAAGGAAACTATGCAGCCGAAAGGCTACGGCTTCTGTGATTTTGCCGTTTGGTGCTTAAGTTGCAGCTGCTTCACAGGAACGTTGTGCTTCACAAATCGGGAGAGAAGGCTGCACCCGAGCCAACACTCAGGATCCTGAAACAGCTGTGGCTGCAATCAAGATCCTTAGCGAGAGAGAGTGCCACGGTGCCTCCCACAGACAAGCCACTCTCTGCTTGCATGGCTGCAACTGCAAGATCTGCCAAGCTGAGCGAGGCAGGTTACTACGATTGGACCTTGCTGACAATGTCGCCCTCCCTGTTAGACAGTGGCAGGGGGGATGTTGAGAGATGTATGCCGACTCCTTTTGCCGATCGCCGTGCTTGCTCGCTAGGAATTGGCGCGTGGCATGCCAGCACGAGGAGCTGCCAAGCGAAGTCCTTAGCTGCATCAATTTTTGCTGGATACGTAAGAACGCAATTGCGCAGCAGTTTGCCTTTGAAGGGCTGGCGAGCCTGGTAAAACTTCAACTGTTTTTGTGCGGGGCTCGGATTCATGCCATGTGTTCCACGGAGCAAGATGCACTGAGATGCCGTTAGGTGGGAAACATTCCATATGATGCCACAGAAGATGCTGGGGACTCATCTCTGCTTGAAGTTTAGGATCCGCATTGTTACATCTCAGAGACCACGAGGGTCACTGGGGCACAGTATAACAGTAGATCCAAACCAAAAGCTGGAATGGAGGGCCGGAGAGGGAAGACCTTCCTTGCCCTCGCGCCACAGATCCCCTGGCTTCTGTGAAGCTCTGGTGGCTTATCTGACTCAGGATGTTCGTGGGCATTTGTCCCAAGGTGGAAAGGCTTGGCAGTCTGACAGCTTCGATGGCCAGCATCGGCTATACTTGGGATGCTTTTACTTCCTGCAGGTGGAGTCTTTCCGCATGGTTTTCGACAAGGCCAACCATCATGCCCTATTGTCGGCTTTCGACATCAAGAGTTGGTATTTGCTGCATGCTGTACAGGAAACCTTACAACCGAAAGGCTACGGCTTCTGCGACTTTGCGGACTGTTCTTCTAGTTGCTTTGTGCTTTGACCCATGCACATGATCTTGGACAACGTGCCGATGCGTTCATCTTGACACAGGATCCAGATACCGCCATCAATGCCATCAAGATCCTCAGTGAGAAGGAATGTAACGGCACTGAACACAGCGACGGATGGGCACGCTTGTTTCGATCCGAATCTGGAAACGAATGAACCCAGGCAGATTGCTGCGGCTAGACCTTGCTGACAACGTGGCTGGCTTGAGCAAGCAAGATGTGAGTTGGAACATCTCATGCCGGTGCAAAACTGCAAAACAGACCACCCACACGAATTGCCGAGGACATGACTCGCGGCGCTCCTTCACGTGGCGTGGCAAAGCGCGGCCCCAAGTTTAATATCAGCGATAGCCCGCCCTGCCTTGACGCGGCCGGCACATCAGCTGGCCGAGTGCCACAGCTTTTGCTCATGCGAAGGCACGGAAGCTTAGAAGGTCCACAACTGGCCCAAATGTCCCCTGAAAAAAGGAATGAAGTATATTGGGAGTCCATTGGGAAGCCCGAGGGCCAATCCATGAGCAGTCCATGGCGGATGGCCAGGAGAGGGGCCAAGGAGGGGGCTGTTCCTTTCCTCCCAAACGCCTAAGCGTGCCTTGGCGGATGTTCATCATCATGGCGGCCGCGGCCCGACGGGACCTTGCCAGACCCAGGGCCGGCAGTGCTGGTACGTTTGGGGCTCGGAAACAACTTGACATAAGCTGCGTTGCGTTTTCCATAGCGTTTGCCTGCCTTGTCATGTCATCAGGCTCGCACTGACAGGACCGGAGAACCTGCCTCAGCCATAGCTTTGCCGTGTGCCACTGTGTTGTTTTTGCTTCGGCGTGACACAGGGCTCCCAGCCGACCGCGCCTCCCACAAGCACCACCCGTCAGGCACTGAGGAACCTCATAGACTTGTTGCGTCCAATTTGGCGACTAGGCTGCTCGTGTCCAAGCATGCTCCAGGCACCTATCAAGACATCGGGCACAACAGCCGGCAGTGGTGTTGTCACTCCAGGTCAGACCTGAAGTTGTGAGTACTGACATTCAAGCAGATGTGCACAAGAGCTTCTCCTTCGGCCCAAGATGCCCCACGGTGGGCATTTTCAGGTTTAAGGGCCACCATGGAAAGAAAACGGATGATGAGGATGATGATGATGATGATGATGATGATGATGATGATGATGTCAACAGCAGGAACAGCACCAAGAGCTGGAATTGATTTCCCTGCAGCATCCGACATGACACGCGCTCGCCATGAACATCGACGCCGAGACAAAGAGGCGACCCACTTTTGTTACTGAGTGTCCTATGTGTTTTCCTTGAGGCTTTGCAGGCAATTTAGCCTTGCCGTCGTGGTTTGTACTGTGGAAGGCTAGTGCGCGGGCTGTTCTAAAATAAATTCTGGGTTTTTGGAGTCCATTGTAGTACACTCACCTTTAGTTCCAAAAAGGGCCCAGAATTTTTGTTCAATGTCTATAGAAGCAGGAATATGAAGCGGACAGCACATGTCAGATCATGTCAGTGTTTGCCATGGTTTGATGCACAAACATGCGAAGCTGCAGTCCCTGTAGTTTTCCTCAGCCTGTGCCGCGACTTGTTAGCACGAGGCCCCGTGTTTTTGTCAATACAGCCAGGGCTGCTTAGGGATACTTCCTTCCACCACTTCCACCATGGCTTTGCGAGTCGGGATTGTGATGATCCCTTCGTTGCGTTCTTTGTGTGCGTATGTGTGCTGGCGCGTGTCCTGTCTGTTTGCCCTGTCTGTCCCGTCCGTGCTGTTTGTCTGTCCATCCGTGCGTCCGTCCATCTGCCTGTCTGTCTGTCTGTCGGTTTGAGTGTGTGGTCTGGGACTCTAGGACTCTGGGACATGGGTCTGGTGGTCTGGAGGTGGTCGTCTGGAGTTGGTGGTCTGCAGGACGATGCAGTGCTCCACAAGCCCTGACATCAGAGGGCATTCCTGGCTGGCATCGGTCGCGACGATGTCGATGTGTAGCTGCGGGGGTCCCCCTGGCTGGGGACTGCAACCTCAACTGCCCTCTTGGCCCACTGGCAGGCACATGGCTTTCCTGCTATGTGGCAGCTCGAATAATGACCTCCTTGAAAGCCCCGGTCATCGGAGCTGGTGGTCTGGAGGTCGTCTGTGTGGTGTGGGGTCTGGGGGGGGTCTGGGGGTGGTCTGGGGTGGTCTCTGGGCGTGGGGTGGTGGGTGCGGGTGCATGTGGAGGGGGTGCAGGTTCGTGTGCGGGCGCGAGCACGGGCGCGTGCGCATGTGCGTATGTGCGTGCGTGTTGTTTGTTGTGGCTTGTGGGTTGTGTGTTCAGGCATGCATGGAACCATGAATCCTCATTGCACCGCCCCGCAAAGAAGATGCATACACCTGCACGCTCATCGACAGTAGTGAGTCTAAGCTTCTACCAATTTCGCCCCATCAAGGCACAGAAGCGGTGGCTCTCTGAAAAGCGTCGCAGCTGCCCTAGATGGCGAAAATGCATTGATCAGAAGCAGAGCGTCTCAGTTCACACGAAGGTGGCATTTGTGATGACACCAACCAGGCTTGTGTTGCATGCTCACTGCATGTCAACATGTTTGGTGTCCTTAGCCGCAGGGCACAGCGGCGGACGATTTCCAGAGCTTGTGCCTCGTGACAATACATGCTTGGTTTGTTCCAGCATCTTGACGAAGTGCCAGGTTATTACAATGCTCAGCTTCGTCATGATTCTTCGTTTGCAGAGCAGCAGGCCATTCCAAAAGCGGCTGCTGAACAGTACAACTCCTGTCCGTTCTTGGCAAGGCCGACTTCTGGTCCTCGATGCGATCAGCTTTGCCGGTTACGGTGCGAGCAGCTTGGTGGGCAATGGGCAGAAGCACAACTAGAACGGTTAACGTGTTCCTGAATTCCTTCGAGTTTGCATCCGGATGGCTCACAGCAGGGTGTCGGCGGAGTCAAGAGGGGCTGGGTTGCGCTTTTGCTTTCCCAAGCGTCCACGAAGCGTTCGCAAGTGTCACGCATCGGCCGCATTAGCATCACGATGCTGTGCATTTCGAGTTCCACCAGTGACCATTCTAGGTGTGCTCGAGCCCGACCGCTCCACACAAAGAGGACCTGCTTTGCACCCATCGCTTCCGGCATTGAGCCACAGCATTGCAGGCTCAGCTGCTGTCTTTTGGCTGGCACAGGCGATGGGAGCACTTGCCCTTAGATCAGTTGTATTTGTGCTTGGTGGCGCGGGCTGTCATGAGATGCAATGACCCACAAAGCCCTGCCCAAGGTTTGACCAAAGTGGCGGCTTGGCTTCATTCTCCCTTGGTTTTGTGGTCAGCCCTACATGAACAAGCTGGATCCTAGGCATGTCAGTTTGGGAAGTCTGTTCGGAAGTGCAACTTGGCCGAGTTTCTTGAGATGTGTCCACGCACGACAGTCCTGTTAGTTGCAAGGTATTCTCACAACACCAGGTGCTGCGCTTGAAGGACGCCTCATCACCAAACTGGTTTGATGACACCTCCTTTGTGCAGGATGCGAGACTGGATCGAGCGTGAGAACCGCTTGGGGAGCCTGTGCTTTCAGGCCGCTTTACTTGGAACATCTTGGAACTAGGGATGCTGTGAACAGAATGATGCTCACGAGCCGAACCTCCACATATTCTATTCGAGGAACTGGTTGCATTGGTGCCCCCGATCCTCATGAACCTGCAGCCGGGAGATGTGCTTCGACTTGCAATGCGGTGGTGGCGTCCAAGCTGAAAGAGTTGGCAAAACCTTGCAGCTTGATGCAACGCAGGTTTGCCTTGATCTCTGTGCAGCTCCGGGGAACCTTGAATGAACTAACTCGGTGGGACTATCAGTGCATCCTTGCGTCTTTTCATTAGCATGCAGTACAGCTCTTCATGAATCCAAGCACTAGCTGAGCGTTTGGAGCTTGTGGACTTCGGCGGGGATTTTGGGGCTTGTCGAACCTGTAGAGGATTCAGCCTTTAAGCATTTCGGATCGGTGAAACACGTGAATCTGAGCGTGCACTGTGGGCCCCAACCCCCTCGCTGATTCACACTGCCAACGAACCAAAGAGCTAGGACCCAAAAAGCCCTCGGCATGATGCTCGTGCATCATTGCGCCCCTCCGGTGCGTCAGTGGTCCGGGGTGAGATGGGGTGAGGCTGCACGTGGCAAGTTCAAAGCAACCTCTGCAACCCTCAAACCATTTTTTGCGTTTTCCGCCAACTTATGCTCTTAAGCCCTCACCCGAGTTTCGATTGTTATTGGGGACCATTGGGATTTGGAGGTGTCCGTGTTTCAGCTTGCCAAGAACCCGGACTCGTCTTTTTTTGAACTTTTTGAGCCTCTAGGACTTGTCGGACTTTCACAACCTTTAGAACCTCAAGGCGGTCAAAAGTCTTTAGATCTTGCAGGGTTTAGTTGGCTTTTGACTTTGGTGACCCACTTAGCTTTCAGAACCTTGAGCCTTGGAACGCTGCTAAAGCCTTTGAGAAAAATCAGAATGTTGCGAACTCAGTGGGCCTCCAGACCCACCCACCCAAAACTCACCCATGCAAACCTCATGATGTGTTTCCGCCTGTTATGAGGAACAAATCCTTGCAACTGCTGGAATCTTTATCATCGGGCACTGATGTGGAAGGTGCTGTGTTGCGGTGACCTTGGACATGAGCTTTTTGTGCGCAAAGGGAAGTAATGCCGAGATGGCTTTCAAGGTCGGCAGACAACGACCCTCAGCGGTAGCTGCCATACTTCTGACGGGCTGTGAGCATCGAATGGGTCGAGCATGTACTCAACATCAGGCAGCTTGCAAAACTTATGGTGCTGAGTTGCTGCCTCACGCTGCATCGCGTGTTGGGCAAAGCTGCTTCACCTGCTTCTTGTGCGGCATTGGCGAATGCTGGACATTTTCCGGTGCTCATGGACTCTCGGTTGAAGATTACTCTGCTCCATGCTGCTTCCTGACGAGCTGCCTTCACCATTCAATGTCAGTTGCCTTGAAAGGAGCAAGCTGGCACTAATGCAAGTCATGATAGATCTGCGAGAATCGACTTCGGCCATGTGCCTCGGCTGGATGCTGCTTCTTCTCCAGGATGCAGTTTTCAAGTCACTGCTTGGAGTGGTAATGCGAGTCATCTGAAAAATATCCTGAATCAAGTTCTGAACCCGAAATTAAAATGTCTTCATACTTGTCCAGAAAGCCAGCTTGACTGTAACCTCCTGCGATAGCTCAGATTCTGGCAGATGTACCCTGCAGCGGAGATGGCACAGCTCGCAAAAACTCGCATGCCACCTGGCCAACAAGCTAACGCCGCGTTGAGGACTTTGAGCAGGGCGTCAGAGATTCTTGCCACCTACAGCTACAGTTGATGGCCAGGTTTTTCGAACGTGGTCGCGCCGAGAAGCCATAGAGTTGTCGTCGCTGCAGCGGCGCATCTTGCTTCGGGGCCTGTACCTGTTGCCACCAGGAGGCCTTGGGCCGTCAACAATTCGAAAGAACCTTCCGCCGCGCATCCTTGCACACTTGTCTCAGGAACACTGGTGTATTCGACGTGCTCGTTGAATCCTTTGGAAAATGAGGCTTCTGAGAACAGTTCTTGTGCGTCGGTCCTGCATTTCTCTTGGGTAACGGCTAGAGCTGCTAACACGAGCCAAGAGAGGCTGTTGTTCTCAGCTGTCTCCGGCGCTGGAACAGCACCCATGTACAAGGCCGGATTCCACAATAATCTGCTATCGCGGCGCGAAAAAAGTGCCTTAACTGGCGTTGTTCCCTGTCAGGTCGCGTCAAGCTGCCTGTTCGTTTGGTGGATGGCAGGGCGCCTGGGATTGATCTTGGTGCAGAGGCTACAAGTAAGCCCAGCTGGTGCACAGTTATTTGCTTTCGGGCAGAACTTGGCTTACGCAAGGAAATGCTCAAAGGCAGATGTGCCCTGCAACCTGTCTCATAGCTGCATTTGGTTACTTGTTGGGGATCGCTTTGACAGCTGGTTGGGACAGGTAATCTCCGTGCGTGCGCATGACAGGCTGCCACAGGCAAAGGGCTTCAAAAGTTCGTTTGTTTGCCAACCACGGAAAAAGACTTGGCGCAAACAGTTGCTAGCAAATCAGTTAGCGAGCTTTCCACCAAACGGGACTGCTATGGTTGTTCTTGCGCTGGCAACCGGGCCGAGGGGCTGTCTTATCGTTCTTATCGGGGAAAGGTCGCGTTTTGATTGCAGTGCCTTTTGGTCAGCCGACCCGAGTCTTGATCCACGACGATTTGGTGTGCAATTATCATAGGGTCTCAGAACAAGTTCAGAAGTGTGCCTTACTTGACCACCAAAGGCGTCTCCGTGAGACGGAGCTTGGAGCTGCCTTGCATGTCAGAGAGAGAGAGAGAGAGAGAGAGAGAGAGAGAGCGAGAGAGAGCACAACTTCAGAACAAACCTAAAGCGTCTCAGATGGTCTCTAAGTCTCCTGGCCTGACGTCGTGGGTGGTGCCTGCGCCACAACGCGGCGGTCCATTCTTTAGCTCCTGGGAGGAGGCAGGGGCTGCCTGTGAGTTTGAAGGTTCCCAATGCCGCTGCGGCAGGCTCCACCAAGAAAATGCTCGAATTATGAAACCGAAAAACCATGCAAAAGTGTTGGGTTTGCATTGCTCGGGCGCGTGACATACCTCGACGATCTTGTCGTGCAGGTGCCCGAAGAGCTTCGCAATGCAGAACGCCAGCCGTCCCAGAGAGGATCAAGAACAGCTGGCTGTGTTTCCCTTGCTTTCAGGTTTCGCTCTTCGTCCCGAAATGTTTCCTGCTGGCGAAGCCAATGCAGAGGACGACCTGCGTCAGCATGCATCAGCTATGCCAGCGATGTGAGTCAGTGAGTCGTGCCCGTCGTGCCTCAAAGCTAGCTCAAGCTAGCAGTTAGCTCTGTTTCAGAACGAAGCGGCAGCTTCATGCCAAGAGCCATGGCTGCAACGGAGGCTCCAGACCCAGAGAAGGTGCCTCTTCTGGCTGAAGAGAGGCAAGTCGAGGCCACCAGATGCACCGGGGGGAAGAGCCCGTCAGGTGTAGGCTAAATTAGCGGCTAAATAGACAATGGGAAGGGGTTGGTAGCGTGCAGCTTACAAATTGTCGATGTTGCCAGGAAACTGAGGAGGCTTTCGATGCCATGAGTTATGACGCGCGCCAGCTGGTCACCTTCTCAGTCTTCCGAAACTTCGGTGGGACAGTGTGGACGAAACCGTCTTTGTGGAAGATGATGGGCATCCTTTTGTTGATCGCCCTGTCAACCGCCACACTTGTCGTCGTGTGCACAAAGGATCCCGCAAAACTTGATGTGGGCCGGTTTGCACGTATCAGCTCGTTCTTGGAAGTTGTTGTGGGCTTGCTTCTCGGCTTCTTCCTCTCCAGCTCGGTTCAGAGGTGGTACAACTGCACAAATGGATTCTTGGAGCTCTTTGATGCAATCCGCGGCCTGCACATGCAACTCAATGCCGTGGGGGTTCCTCGAGACCGTGTGCACCTGTGCCTTCGCTACTGCGTTGTCTCGGCCCATTGTCTGGACCACGATTTGATCGCATCTGCTATGTCACCTGAAGACCGCTGCGCATACATGAAGGAGCGTTGGGCCAAGATTACATGTGAAAACGAAAGCGAGATCGTTTGGAAGGACCAAACAGAAAGCGTTGCAAAGATTTTGCCTTCTGAGCAGAATGTCTTGGAATCCATTGAAGATCCTGCGCAGACTCTTTGGGTGTGGATCACTTCACTCCTGACCCGCATGGCTGCTGACGGGGAGATTCCACCAATGGCTACCCCAACATACGGGCGCATCATCACCATTGCAGAGCAGGCCTACACCGGAATCCGTACTGTACGCGCATCTGTCCGAGTTCAGCCGCCCTACGTCCACGTGCAGATGATGGCAGCGCTCGTCCTTGTGAATAACATCATTAATGCTATCAGTTTCGGCATGACTGCTGGAGTCACACTGAGCACTGTGCTTGCCGGAAGCCGTTTGAGCCCCTTCACTAGTAAATCTGCAAACTCTGCAGAAGTGTCTCATTCTTTGCAAGATTTGGCCATTGCATTGATCCTGGCGACCGTGGGCCCCTTCCTGTATCAAGCACTCCTGGAGGTCGCCGTGTGTATCGCACAGCCTTTCGCAAGCGCCGGCAAGGATTCGAAGTCTCCTGGCCGAATTCCGACTGAAAAACTTTTGCGCAACTTGGAGAAGGACGGGGTAACACTGTGTTTCCTGATTGACAGAGACACACACTTGAAATTAGTCCCATCCAGACGCTTGCTTGTCGAGTGCCTGCAGGGCTCTCCACCCCGCCGCCCTGTAATGTATGCACAGCAAGCCAGACACACGCAAACACACACACACACAAGACAAACAGGCAGAGACACACAGACGCACCCGCACCAGCACCCGCACCGGCACCCGCACCCGCACGCACGCGCACGCGCATTCTGACTTAGGCAGGCTACCTGAAGGTCGACTGTCATTGAATGGTACATCTGCACATGATTGCACAAGCAACACAGCACAATGCAGCACCACAAGTGTCGCTGGACAAGCCGCACAGGCCCTCGCGATCTTCATGCCTGTTTCAGAAGCCCCATGGAAACAGAATGGAACGAGGGGGGGAGGGGGCGAGAATCCGCGCACCTCCCCTCTCTTTTTGTGTGGCGGCCTTCCGGCGTTTTTGTGGACCCACCCCCGGCTTCAGTCAGAGTCATGCACATGTAGAAAACGTAGTATAAATAATAGATTTTTTGGGGAGTTAACCTTCCGGAACCAACCCTGAAGAGCACTTTAGCTACTTTAGCTTCGCGCCCGCATTTTTGGTTTCGACTTGCTTGGTTGAAAGACAGCTACTGGGACTCTCCTCACCCCTCAGTAGCCGTAATGCTATAGAAGACCTTCATTCCCCTCACTGCCCTTAACATGCTGGAGAAGACCCTCATCCCCGCGGCACCTTTGAATGCGAGAGCAGACATACAGACCTTGTTTGCAACTTTGGGGGGGGGGGGGGGGGGGGCTGCACCCCCCAATCCCTCCGCTCTTTGAAGCCGTGCAAACTTGCTTCATAGATTCTCTTGCCTTGGAGCTGCACGCCCCCCTCAAACCCCCTGCTCATCTTCATAGAATGTCGTGCTGTCAAAGGTCATTCCTCTGACGAATCCTTCTCAAAACCATCATACGAGCAGTGTGTTCGCAACTGGGTGCATCATACGAGCATCCTGTTGCACCCAACGCGCCCCGCTCTTTTGCGCCATGCAAACTTGCTTCATGGAGTTTGTGTCTTTGTGGAACACTTGCAGCATGCGAACAGTCTTATTTTACAACATTTGGAGTTGAAACACAAGTGCTGAAGTTTACAGCGTTTGGAGCCGAGGAACAGTTCAACAGCATTTGGAACAGCAGAAATGCTGTAATTTCAGCATTTGAGCCAGAAAGGCCAATTTCTTCAGCATTTAGAGCTAGTTTGCCAGGCTCCGGCGCAGTTTTTTGCTGTGCATCGCTTTGCCTGTGTGGCAGTCCTTCTTGGCTGCGGCATTCGAAACTTCGCCACGCACAAAACTCCCACAAACAACAAGCACACCAGTTAGGCTTATCGAAAGGAGTTCTGTGACAGGACTTGAAAGACATCGAGTTCATGAGCTCGAGCCTGCCTTGGTGGCAGCAGGCTTACTTCAAGAAACCTGAGGCGGCCTAGGAGGTCCCTGTATAGACCAGCTGAAGTGGGCCGGTACCAAAGCCGAAGACTAGAACTGCGGAAACGCTCTGCACCAGCGTTTCAGATGACAAAATCCTGTGAACGGCAGGTTTGCGTTCGTGTGTGCTCATGCGTGCTGTTGGTGCAGCTTACTGCACTTGCCTGCGCTGTAGGAGCTATCCAAGTGCATTCGGTTCTACCCTCACCATTCCAACACAGGAGGCTTCTTTGCCGAGTGCCCAGCCTGTATGCTGGAGAGAGAGAAGCAGAATCGTGCTGCAGGGCATGTTAGCTTGGCAAGGTCGCGGTGTTCAAAAAAGCACCTGCCACTTCCGACGTCCTTCAAGGCACGCTTGTGGCACTCTTCACTTCTCAGCTCTGTCTGGCTCATCGTGTCATTGCACCTGTCATTGCAAGTTCCCCGGGAACTTGCCGCCTCCGGCCACATGCCATTGTTACTTGCAGGCCCCCACCCTCCGCCAGCTTCCCAATGTGAAGGACGCGGAGGGCATCCGCTGCTCAGCAACTTGACCGCTTCACAAGGATGACTTGAAGTGCGCTAGTTCGACCTCCGAGAGTTCGAGTTGCATCGACCGGTGGCATGTCATGGCACGTCATTCAACAACACAGTGGACTGTGCACATGTGGCTTCCAAATTCGCTGAAGTCTGTAGAAGCCAAGGCTCGAAGTTTCACCGGGTGGTAGAAACTGATCGGGCTTGGCAAGAGCTCGTGAACTTCTATGGCATCGATGCTGCTTGGAGCCAGGACATAAAACATTGCGCTCACAGATAGGAAAGTGTGGTTGCATTATGTGCCCTAGCCCGCACCGTGCTACCAAAAATGTTACAAACATCAGGTGTCGCTGCAACAGTTGCGGAGAGAGCTTCCCGTGATCATCGGGCACTTGTGTAACTTTGTGCTTTCGTGGAAGGACAAGCTGAAACGTGGCTTGCTGCTTTGGCAGACCATGAAGGGCAAGACAGAGCCAGAAAGGATTTCTTTGGCTGCCCGACATAGATTTTTCTTGCAGATGGAATGCACAGATTCTTCATGGTTTGTCAGCCAAGGTTTCTGAGGCCAGAACTGGTGGGCTCCTATTGGGTGTGAGGAATGTCCTGTGACTGTCAGTGGTCGCGACGCGGTCGAATAGAACTGGAGCAACGGCAAGAATGCACAAACTTCGGAAAGCTGAAACGTACACCTGGAGGTTAGAGGGCAACTCTGTCATGCTTTCCCAGCATAGCACGCCCTCCAGAAAGCAGGCAGTTGCCCGCCTCTTCGACGCGGTCTCTTGTGATGGTCGTCAAGCCTCTCTGCTGCAGTTGTCGTCGGAGTTGCTGCTGAACGAGGGTATGGGTCAGGTTTGCACTGCAGGTGACGGCTATGTGCAATACAAGAGCTTGAAAGTTCGTATTTGCAAGGTTGCATGGGCTCGCATGGGCATGTTCCTGTTCGAGCATCTCCCGAAGGATGCCGGTCAAAGTGCCTGCAATTGTTCATGGCACCAAAAGTGGCTTCGTGTCCTTGCGATTGCATCTTTTCAGGGGCTCCTTGCTGGTGGAGTTGCGCCATGCCGGTGGCGACCGCATGCGGAGGTTGGGGCACCTTTTGGCGATGCTTGGCATGCATCAGACGTGTGGACAAGTAGCACTGCAGTCAGGCTGTGCACATGCTTGCACCAATTCTGCATCGGCGGCAAGTGTCTTTGAAGTCAGAGGCTTATGTGCTGCTTGCCCCCTCAGATCCTATTATTTTTCCTGGATTATTGTTTCTTTATGACACGGAGAGCTCATTGAGCCGTGCTGTTGTTGTGCAGCGGCGCAGGGCGCAGCTGGTGCGACAAGTGTTGGGCCGAGCACTCATGCTGAGCTGTGGACCAAAAGCCATCCCTAAACAGATTTCCGGCAACCCTCCCACAATTTGCGGGGTTGCGCACAAACCTGTTCCGGTTGATTGGGGCATTTTCCTAGGTGGTGAAATGCCGGAGGTGGAAGGGGGGGGGGGCAGGGCGCACCCAAAATCGGTGAGGTAGCGCGCATCGCCAGTCGACATTGACGGAAGGCTTGGGGAGTTTGGGAACAGGGTATTCCATGGCATACGCCCAGTTCTTATGTTTTGGATGCGGACAAGTGGCTCGTAGGAACCCCGTTAGCCTGTGCCGTGGCCGCGGGCGCGCCAAGTGCCACGCATCACCATGTTTCTTGGCAGGCAAGCTGAGGTGCATGTATGTAAGCCGCTTTATTCAGTTCTGTGGCTTTCCTTTTGTCGGTTTGGCTATTGTTTACTCATTGCAGCGACAACATAAGGTTTGCGGTGGACTCCTAGTCCAGATGCAGGGGTCAACATGCAGCTGGGCTCCAGGCGTAGCTACTCCAAAGCAGTGCCTTTGCTGAACATTGTGCCTTTGATTTACACCTTGAAGTATCACGTGCAACTGGCAACCGGTTGGTCAGGCTTCGGTTGCTCGTCGATGACGATTTGGCGCAGGCCGTAATTTGCGTCATCAAGATTTGCAGCAACTATTCATTGTCAGCTTGGCGCACGGAATTGGACATGACACTGCGCAGGCGCTGCTCGAGAGATGCCAACCTCTCGAGACAGCGTGCCCAAGCTCAGGTTTTTGCTGCCACCTGTACAGTCTGGTTTGAAATGCTGGATGGTCGTTCTCCTGAGGTGGTTCATATCCCATTGAAAGCACATGGCCTGATTTTGTGTTTCGTGGTCCTGCTATCTAGGCCACTGAGCCGATCCAAGCCGAAACATGGGATATTGTACAGGCATGAGCAGCCCGAAGCAGAAAGAAGTAGGATTGGACATTTCATTTCACATATTGGTGTTGCAGCTCATACAACTGGCCATACAATTGGGACATTCCTACCATGCTGCGGCGCCCGCTGCCACCGAAAGGCACAGAGCAGCTTGTCGTTGAGCAAGCTGTTTTCGGTGCTGCAAGTCCAGTCATGTAGTGCAGGGGATGTCCTTGCGTAGCGGAAATCGGTATTGCAAAGGGGCGTTCAAAAAACGCCCCCATGTACGATGCGACGTGTCTTCAAGGGACGTCTGTGTCATATTCACAACCACTAATGAAAGCGATAACTTGTTTTGCCAAGGACATTTGCCCCTCATGTGCAGAGCGGAGTTATGGATAGTCCCGGATCACCCGGGTCCAGCATGCCTGCAAGGAGTTAAAGTGGCAGTCTTGACCAGTTGCAGAGGAAGCTCAATGTTTGTGAAATTTTGTGCGCTGGAGGACTGAGCTGCCTGGCCGATCGTCTTTGTTCGCTGAGGCGCGTTGGTTTCCAAGCACCAACTTTCAATTCAGAAGTATGTTTCCTGCTGTCATCAAGCGATTGTGATGTTTTGATCGTGCCGTGCCAAATCCGAAAAAATGCTGTAGGTGGTCACCAATGTCGTGTCCCAAAAGGCTACATCACAAGGCGGGTGCCGGCAAAACCAATGCAGCGCCGAGCTGTTCAGCGTGTCAACACTGCTGTCGACCCCGAGGCGTTGCCAGGGTATTTACGTCAGATTCGGATTATTTCAGTGGTGCAGAAAGTGGCTTGGACAGGCTGACAGCTTCGCCAGTCAACATGTCATGTTTCGTGTCAAACCCTTCTCAATGCCACAGGGAAGTATTGCGGAAACGGATTCGGCCGTGACCTCACTTCCTTCCCTGCCTTTGCTATCCCACAGTTGCCTCTTGTGCGCAACTTTTCCGAGGCTCGAGTTCAAGATGTTGAGCATGCTCCCACGTCTATTCTTTTTCATTGCTTCTCGGATGCGAATGTCGGCTGCCGCAGTGCTTACAAGCAGATGGAAGCCCTCCTTGCTAGGTATGTTTCTGCCTGTTCATTGCCATCCAGCAGTTTCTTGCTTGCAGTTTGCACGAACCCATACAGACTTTGTGATAGTGATTGCCCTGCATCAGGGTGGAGTACGATCCAACGAATTTCTCCGGCATCCACTTGCGCTTGGCCGATCATTTTCACCTCAGCAACGCCTCTGGGCGTCACAGATTCGGAATTTTGTTCAAACTGTTTGCTTCGGAGCAGGCCAGGAATTCTGGCCCTTCCCCCCCATGTGCCCCAGTCAGCCCTGCAGTCCGAGACGTGTTCGTTCCATCATGCCCTCCATGCCGACCCTTCCAAGTGGACAGCCCGGGGTTTTCAAGACGTGTTAGTTCAGGTCTTTGCTATTCGGCAGATCCCAGAGCTCATCGAGTACCTGGACACGTTTGTGATCGCCAACGCAGCTTAGCTGACTTAGCTGCCTTAGCTTAAGTCAGGTGCATTGATCACTTTTGAAGATTATGGGAAAACGGTATGAATGCCCTTGCTTTTGGCGGCTCGGAGGCTTCCACATGGCCCGGCAAAGCGAGACAACAAATAATTTGCAGCCTCCCAGGCCACGTATAGGAAGATCATCTCAGTATTGAGGCCACACCTGGCCTCGAGGACCGGACACTCGCTAACTAGCTTTGATAAGCTTCAGGCACAACTTGATCCTTTGAACATCTACCACTGGTGTGCAGACGACGAGACTATCCCGCTCCCTGAGCCATGACAGCATTTCATTAGGCATACTTGGGCCTGATTGATCTTCCTTCTTGTCTTTCGGATGTCTCAGGGGTGCCTTCGTTCACACTTGCGTCTGCATTGTTTGAGCAGCAGGGCCATCGCCACGCTTTCAGAAAAGAAGGGGCTGCAGGGCCAAGGACTGCGTTGCAAGTTCGTCGGGAACACACGGCAAGCACCCTGGGCCAGGTGAACAGGATTCGGTGCCGGCGAGACGAAGGCCTGACTGCACTTTCAGATTTGCACCGTATGATCACGAAGCGATCAACGTGAACATGACATGAGGATCGATAGTCGACAAAGCTTTCCTGGAACCTTGGCCATGGTCTTTGTCCTGCACGCTTGGAGTTTGTGCCCCGCGTTCGCTGCTCCAGCCACCGCACGGTGTGCTGAATCATTTTGTGGAAGAGGTTGATGCCATCTCACCGCCTCAACAAGATGTTACTGTAATTTGTCCTGGTAAGGACCACTACAACGTGTACAGCAAGCGGATCCAGGATGCAGAGAGCAACACGGCTAGCCCGGCCAGTCCGGCGAGATATGCCCCGCAAGAACATACTTGCACTAGCTGACTGTTGCTTGAAGTCTTTGACGAAGGTGAAGCCGTGTTCAACATGATTCAGGAGCCGGTGATACTTCGACAAACCCCATAACAGGTGCCCATGTGTTCTCCACGGGTCTGAATTCTGGATGTCGATCGATCTGTCTACGCTTTGGTACTTGGATCTTAGGCTTAAACACGGAATGTACTAGACATGCAAGACCCTTCGCTACCTTGGTTCCAGCAACAAATGCTTCAGCATCCGCTTGCATCTTTTGGCGTCCCAGCGCAACCCAAGAAAATGAAAAGTGCACCTCGATACCTAAGCCATGAATCTCTGCAGGAAATTCGACAGTTCACCAGCAACTCTTCGAATCGGCGGTTGGAGGAGAACAGCGAGGTCCGCTGTTCAGGGTGCAGGGCGGATAGGATGTTGGATATTTTGGATTCGTTGGGGTTAGGTTTGGCAAAGGGCACCTGGCCTCTCTCCACACGAGCTCTGCAGAGCTGCAAAGGTTCTTGTTCAAATTTTAGTGAGAACCTTGTTGCTTTTTGTAGGACAAAAGCAACAGCACCACTGCCAAGTCGGCAAATACGCCGCGAAGACGCCCTTTTGGTCGCAGCTGAGCCGTACTTCAAACCGCGATGTGGCGTTTTTTGCCTGGTCTGTCCGGGGTTGATGTGGCATGTTGTGGCAGCATTTTTTTCAGAGTCCAATTTATTGCGATTGGATGTTGAAGGGGGTTTTGAAATGGACGGTGCTGAGCTCAGAAATGCTTCGGAAGCTTGTGGTGACAGAGTGAGGTGTCATGTGGGGCAAATAGTTTATCTCAGCAGTAAGGCAGATCGGAAAGAACGTTTCTTCAGCTGCAGGGTTTGATCTTTGATCCACTCAGGCTACGTAGTCTGAACATCAACAGCTTTGCAAGGTCATTTGTCAGTGCTCCTACGATCTCCCGTGCTGGCATCGAGGGAAGCAGACTCTTGCATGGTTCATGATACCTGAGAATTTTGAGGCGGATTTAGCGTTCTGAATTTAACGACAGCAAGGTTGGAAAGTTTGTATATCCTTGGCCTCAGCAGGAGCAGTTTTTTGTAGGGTTCCATGCAGTGGTTCTAAGGCAGCCTGATGTCTACCTTTGTGCCTCAAGATGCCTAGCAACGGCTTGAAGAACGTGCCTGAGGTCTTGGCAAAGAGTCCGCCTCTTCCTTTGGCGAACACATCCGGAATTGTGGGATTTGCTGCTAGGCCTTCAACGACGATAACATTGGAGTTTGCATGCAGGTGAAGGTTTGGTTGCCGAATAAGTCAGGTCTCACTCGTCCGGGGATCAGACAAGGAGACGTGTTCAAGCTTGGGCGTCAAGCTTAGGCGTTGAATGGTGTTCTGCTCATTGGGGCCCACCACCAACGTGGGCACGTAATGCCCACGTCTTGGCCGTGCGCTCAGGGTTCTGGTGTGCCACTTGCATGTTTTTTTCAAGGGCCATCAAGCATCTTCAGAGCGACTGCGCAGGCACTTCGACGACTGCGGTGGGCATGTGGATGCAAGTGGACGTTACCACTACCACTTTCCGCCTTCCTGTTATTTGTCGGATCGAGGTCCGGATTCCTGCGGGCTTCCGATCCCTACAGCGCTGGGTAGATTGTCCCCCTTACTCAGTCTCGATGACCTTAACAAGAGCACCTGGCCAATAGGCTTGGTTTCCCCTGGCCGCGCGGACTGGTGGACCCAGAGGGTTCCTCGTACCGTTTGATACCATTGCTGATCATGGGCCAGGGGTGTGTTTTGGGTCACCTTTGGTCGCTTGCTTCTTGGGGCTGACCTGTGGGCTCCATATCTGGGATATTGAGATTGTGATATTACGTGGATAGAAGCACGCCCACTTCTTGGTTTCCTTCGTCTGGCAAATGCAAATTGCTAGGATCCCGTGGCGTTTTGGCCATTGCTCTCGAAGCCTTCGCCAGTGATTGGCTATGCTTTGGACTGCTTGTGCTGGCAGAACTGCGGTATCAGGTTCAGAGATGGATTTGAGGTTTTCCTGCAGGTACTACAATACTACATGTCTTACAACACCAGTGTGAAGGACGGCCTTCCCATCCGTGGGCCCTACGGCTTCGATGGGCGCCTGGTGAACGTCAGCGAGCTGGATGAATGCAACGGGCGGTCGGTGATCAATGAGCCTGGGACACACAAATGTGGTTATTTCACAGGCTCCAGATCCAAACTGCAATCATCCCCATCTTGCTGTTCTGTGGATGAACAAGCCCAGGAGCATGGTATAGAGGACGTGGCAGGGCGTGGCGTAGCATACTGCATTTGGAAAAATGAAGAAGGTTTCTGAACAGTCACAACTAAAACAGTCCGATGCTATCCAGCCGGTTGTCACAGGAGTATCATTATGTTTGGTCCATCGTCGAGCCATTCCTCCCTCAGTGCTTCCGGCTACAACCAGCCCAGGCCTGCAAAACGTCTTTGGCATTTGG